AGAGAGATTGAGAGAATATGGAGGAAGACTAGAAATTTTCGGACGGAGATATACCGTGTGTGTGTGTGTGTGTGTGTGTGTGTGTGTGTGTGTGTGTGTGTGTGTGCGCGCGCGCGTGCGTGCGTGCGTGCGTGTGTGTGTGTGTGTGTGTGTGTGTGTGTCTGTATATGCATGTCTGTTTGCATGTGCATGACTGTGTGAGTGTGTCTGACGTGTGTCTATGCGTGCGTATATATGCGTATATGCGTACACGTGTATGCGTATTAGCCAGCGAGCCGTGCAGCCGGGATTTACACGGTCCGTTTTGAAACTGCACGGCCAAAAAAATGGAAAAAGTGTAAAATTTAAAAATGTAAAAGTTAAACAAAATTTTAAATTTTAAATATTCCTGCTTAATACCCTGACCCTAACCCTAACCCTAATCCTGACCCTAAGCCTAACCCTAAATATAGATATATATTTATCAAGAGTACATAATAGAAATCTCTATAATCTCTATAATCTAGATAATTTTAAATATTCCTGCCTAATACCCGAACCCTAACCCTAACCCTAAGTCTAACCCTAAATATAGATATATATTTATCAAGAGTACATAATAGAGATCTCTATAATCTCTATAATCTAGACGTTACTGTGCCCCCCTCCCCCGGACGCCCCATCCTTGTGCAAACCGAAGGTTTGAGTTTATATATGCTCCCCTATTGGCCATTTTTACAAGACAGGGATAAATCATACCAGAATCACCTAGGAATTCGACTAATCTCAATTCGTGGGCAACAGTCACTGACTTGACACAGCGTTTGCTGGTAAACATGTCATGGTAGCATCGTTGAAAACTTTTGGGATTTAAAAGCGCACGAAAAACTATAATAAAACGTAAATAACCCTAATTACCTCAATGGCTACGCCCACCGAATGCCACTCACGATGTTTACTCGGTGACGTGGCCCTCGGAATTCCCATTGGTTGATACAAATCACGTGCCTCAAACTCCTCAATGACGCCACAGTGTTGTCAAGGCACATTCATATCACAAAAACCCAATGCCTCAATAGCTGAACGCCTAGAGCAGAGACGACACGGCTGAAATGTCGTTGGATCGAATCCCATCTGTTTTTTCATTATTTTCCTGTTTTCTGTATTTTTCTATGTTTATCCATATTTACATGATTTATTTACATAAATTTAATAAGAACAAATAATTTTTTTTTGTTTATAGGGTTAGGGCTAGGGTTAGGCTCGCATTGCACCATAAAACAGGAGTTTGAGGTACGTGATTTGTATCAACCAATGGGATTTGGGAGCTATGCAGGCCCTAGCTGCGTGTATGTAACACAGCTGTATATTTCGCCGTCGTTGAATTTCTCTTGCGTTTCGCGTGATTGACGGAGCAGCTCTTCAGTGATTCTCATGCAATAGCGATGTTTCATGTTTATAAACATTGACGTCATATTGTTCGATACAAGCACACGCACGCACGCACGCACGTGTACGTACACACGCACGCACGCTCGCACGCACGTGTACGTGCACACACACACTCATGCACGCACGTGTACGTGCACTCGCACGCACGCACGCATGCACGCACGTGTACGTGCACACGCACGCACGCACGCACGTCTACGTGCACATGCATGCACGCACGCACGCACGCACGCACGTGTACCTGCACACACACGCACGTACGCACGCACGCACACATGCACACACGTGTACCTGCACACGCACACACGCACGCAGGCACGCACGCACGCACGCACGTGTACGTGCACACGCACGCACCACACTCATGCCACGCCACGTGATACGGTGCACCACGCATGCACGCCGCTGTACGTGCACAGCCATGGACGCATGGTATACTGCCACTATGTAACGCGCGCACGCACCGCACGTGTACGGTGCAACACACGGGCGACGCACGCACGCACGTGGTTTTTTATACGCGCATCACGCACGCACCTTACTCATGCACGCACGTGTACGGGCACACGCACGCATGCACGCACGTGTACGTGCACACGCACGCATGCACGCACGTGTACGTGCCCACGCACGCACACATGCACGCATGCACGCACGTGTACATGCACACGCACGCATGCACGCATGCATGCACGCACGTGTACGTGCACACGCACGCACGCACGCACGTGTAAGTTCACACGCACGCACGCACACACACACACTCACGCATGCACGCACGTGTACGTGCACACGCACGCACGCACGTGTACGTGCACACGCACGCGCGCAGCACACACGTGTACGTGCACTACATAAACAGCGCTTTCTATCAGAACATGTGGTCATTCATCTGTAAATGTCAAGCAGCACGCTTCGCTTCTGCCAACCACAACACATAACAAATACACGTGACCTGATCTATGACGCCACGTGAAACATCGCTATTACACCTGCGCGATGGCGTGTGCATATGTTTGCTAGTGAATTAGGCCCGCTAAAATTCAAGACTGTTCGCTGGCAGCAATTGATCCGTGCGCCGGCCTTTCGATTTGGCGCACGGATCAATAGCTGCCAGCACGTGATACTTTCGTAGGACGTTCCCGCGGTCGCGTGCGCCTTGCCGCGGAACTGCCCGCAAGATCGCGCTTAGCGGGCAGGATCAACACCTCTCAGGCAACGCTTCTCTGGTATCCGGTCTCTCATCTGGATATTTACAGGAGTCTATCAATATTGATAAACTCCTGATATTTATTCATGTACAGAATGCATCAAACACAACGGGAAGAATGTGTGTTTACGTGCGTTTTATTATATCTATGATATATCATATCATATCATATCATAGGCTATGACTGTTTGTCTTGTCTTTATTCATTTATAAAGAACTCTTATTAAAACACAATCGACACGTTGTGTAGTGCAACTGGTATATGTGCGCACACACACAGATGTGCGCAGCGAGCAGCGAACGGCAGCTGGCAGATGGGGGGGGGGGCGATTTCATATACATTACATCACCGCGAGAGGGCAGTCAACAGTCAACAAACATCAATGGAGGAATTTGTGGCGGTTGATTTATGGGTGTTGCTCTCCCCTGGGCGTGGAGTGCTACCGCAACTTGGCAGCACTAGTATTAGGATTATTATTAGTAGTATTAGTATTAGTATTAGGTTAGGGTTAGGGTTAGGGTTAGAGTTTTTGCATCATGATATCTGTCCCCACACCATAGATTAATTTTTGTGGATCACACCCCCTATATATAGCGCTCCAATAGATAGATATTTAGTGTTAGGGTTAGTGTTGGAGGTGTTGTAGTTACCGTTACTGTTAAGTTTTGAAGTATACGTCAACTGTATCACGTGACTCTCACTCCACGCCCGGGGGATAGCAACACCACCCTTGATTTATTGGTTTCCAAGAAAACAACGAATATCAACGGATTTCGAGATAATTTACTGCGGAGAGCAAGTGGTATCAGTCCGTAAACGGCGCGCGCAAATACGCAGATACATTTGAGGGCCGTAGCAGAGGAACATGACGGGAAATTCTCGCGCGTAGCATTGCCATTAGCAATGCCAATGGTGAGAAACAGTCGGAAACGGCTGAGTAGTGTCGCTTAAACGCAGTTTTTTCCACACTTCTTGTGAACTCACATAATATGTTTCTCGGTCGAAATGAACAAACAACACCGTCAACAACACCCCTGTCGATTTTAAAGCGGCTACCCCCACATTTACAAAAATGACATAGGTCTCAACCTGAACATCATCTCTATCCTTGAACCTCCGTCAGTCTAACCCCGCGTCTGTTTCATCAATATTCGCTTTCTCATTGCATGGTCGTAGCCTCTGGGGACAGGGGCAAGAGGCAGGTGCTCTCCTAGATTTTCGAGCAAAGTCGAAGAATAAGCGTAGCTAATAATCGTCGCTAACGTGATTTCATTGGCCACTTATCCGTGAAAGCCTTGTATCAGACCCATCCCTACCACACTGTGGACGTCGATCATGAACTGCGCCCATCGCTCATCATTACACAGTTGAGTCATGAAATTTTGCTCCCCCTAGAAGTTTGCTCAGGCTACGGCCCTGCATTGTGTTTCCTTATCGCCTCTCACGGCTAACGTCTACTCTCGCTCACTTTCATCAGCATAAACCCGTGTGTGGCCACTCCTCGACATTAGCTCCATCCTTGAAGTAATCATTCTGCACTGATGTGTATTTTGTTCCCTGGTAGGATAACTTATTCTACTTCATACAGGAATAGTATCACTGATACGTATGTGTGTGTGTGTGTGTGTGTGTGTGTGTGTGTGTGTGTGTGTGTGTGTGTGTGTGTGTGTGTGTGTGTGTGGGTGTGTGTGTGTGTGTGCGCGCGCGCGCACGCACGCGCATAAATTAATACATATATATATATATACGTAAAGGCACGCGTGTATTATATGTGCATGCATTCATCGCCCTGCTTTTGTCGATGCAGATTTTTTCCCGTCTTAGTACCCTAGTGTATTTTGGCCTAGATGGCTATCATATCCCCAGCTATCACATACTGAGCTCTCGAAAAACAATGATACTATATATCATTATAGTATATATTATATATATTATATATTGTATTATGAGTTAGTGATGGTCGTTGGGTCTCGCGCGTTAGAGCGAGGGACGAATACCCCGTACAGACTGCAAATTTGTCCCGACTAATTTATCCCGTGCCTAGCCCGTATTTGGAGCGGGATAGCGTGTTACACACTGCAAAAATTTGGCGCGGGTCTGGAGCATGCTAGTTTAATACTATATCAAAATCGTAGTCTGTACGGGTAGAATTTTGCGCGCGTGTTGAAATTCATTCGCTAATACGGTTGCGACGTATTTAGGAAACAGAGCGGCGTCGCCATGCGGCCGAGGCAGGTGACCATGGCGACGCGTCGTCGATCAGGCGACGCCTCCGGGAGCTGACAAGCTATAACGTCAATGTTGTCTGCGGAGCGTGACTTCTATCAGGGGAACACAGGCGCACCCAGAACACGACGAGTAGGTTCGGCTCGATTCTCTCTTCCTTTGATATACGTATAGACAGCGAACAGACGTGAGAGAGGGAGGAGGTCTTCAGAAGCCGCTGTGGTAAAGAACGGGAATCTGTTCACAGCACAGGCCAGATGAATGGCCTATTGGTCACTCTCCTACTTCTACTCGGTACGTCGTGTGCGTGCGTGAGTGCGTGAGTGCGTTATTTTGTGTGCGTGCGTGTGTGGGTGTGTCCGCTAGCGAGTGTCCGTGCGCACATTTGTTTGTGCATGTTCGTGCGTGCGTGCGCGCGTGCGTGTGTGAGTGCGTGAGTGCGTTATTTTGTGTTGCACTCATGGCTGTGTATGAGTCAACTATATCCTAAGGTGTTTTCCGCTTGTTTCAGTAGCTACGTGTATGTTTGCACCACTCTCATCGGGTTTGAAATATTGTGGAAAACCCGGAGGTTCTGGAATAGAGTAAGTACTACGATTACTACTGTACACTATTATTATACTTACTACTATATCTATCTATATCTATCTATCTATATATATATATATATATATATATATATATATATAATAGAAGAGAGAGAGATGAGAGAGAGAGAGAGAGGAGATAGAGGGGAGAGGAAGGGAGAGAAAGAGAGAGCGCGCGTAGGAAAAGCGCGAGAGACAGGAGAGTGTGTGATAGGGACCAATTTCCCAGTGTAGAATAAAGATGATTTCATAGTGCGAGAGGAAAATAAGCTATAATATATATTATAATAAATATTATATATATATATAATATATACGCAATGTGACAATGTGTCGCATGACACACGACGTCAGACTATGAAATTTTCTTTCTCGGCATTTTGTGGCAGTTGCTATCACTCTATTTTGATATTGAACATCATCAAGGCAACATTATGTATTATTTGTGTTGATGATTATACATAAGCATGTTAAATACCGGTGCGGTGCACGCCATGTTGTGTAGTTCGACGGATTGCTGGCATGGCTCATGTAACGATAAGGGAGGCTGGGCGATTGGCGATCCTGTGGTCCGATTTAACTGGCAACGACCTCGTAATGTCCCCGCGTGGCATTGCCACTGAATAGAATTCTGTTCAGCAGTAAAAATAATGTCCCCTGTGTATCTAAAACTGCGACGGCGCCGTGTACTATTATTCTTACGCAGCCAGGTTCAGCAAATTATTAGCTGTGTGCAAGGACGCTATGACAAAGGTACTCAGCTCTATTATCATCAAGAGCGTATTCAGTATGAAAATAAGTATATGATGTGTGTGTGTGTGTGTGTGTGTGTGTGCGTGCGACTGCGTGCTCTGCGTTGCGTGCCGTGCGTGGCGTGCGGGCGTGCGTGTGTGTGTGTGGGTGGGCGTGTGTGTGTGTGTGTGTGTGTGTGTGTGTGGTGTTTGTGCGTTGGCGTGTTGTGTCTGTGGTGTGATGAGAGGGGAAGGGAGAGATAGAGAGTGTGGGAAGTGTGTGCTTTCGTTATTCGCTTAGTGTCCAAGTGCAAATTCGGTGTTTAAACGATCGTTTTCTCAGAATAAGATCGAAAAACATTCATAATATATGACAAATGCGCGGTGCTTGTTGTAGATAACATGCACTACGCCATCGTTCACCACCGCTGAGGACACGCATGCTATGGTTTCAACCTCGACATCCCATCAGCACGCAAGTCTACGTTGTTATGGCAGTCGACATTCGACCAGCGTGAGTTTTTAGCGTCGGCGGTAATTTTCGCGTAATAGCCGATGAGATTGCAAGGAATCATTAACGAAATAACACAGAGGACTCGACCTACTGTTTGAGCCTGTATTTATATATATATATTATATATATATATATTATACTATATATATATATATTATATATATATAATATATATATATCTACTATAATAAATAGTAGAAAGAGCGCGAAAGTGTCGTTTCGCGTATCTTCCTCCGAAACGCGTGCCGCGTGTGCATCAACGCGAATCGAGCTGGGGCCCCTTCTGGGCGTCGCGCGAATAGCATTTCCGCTAACGTTAGAAGCGATTTTTCCAGTCGTTAAAGCTTATTCTAAACACGAATAGCCAAGAGTGTAACATACCAAGTTGTCCCCCCCGTCCGGCGTCTCTCCCTCTTTCTCTTAAACAAACCCATCTCCTTTTAAACCGTACGCGGCGTTCGTCGCGACCCGATTAGACTTTCTAGATTACCGATTAGATTGTAATTTAACGTTTCACAAAATTGACCCCTGCGACTGTCAAATCCGCCGATTTCCGCGGATCCGCCGAAAAAAACCCCCCCCCCCGCCCTCCTCTTGCATTCCGGAGTCAGTATGTAATGCGGCGTGTGCGTGTGCATGTGCGTGTATGTGTGTGCGCGCCCGTGTGTGTGTAAATGTGGTATTGTGTGCGTGGGTACGCGTGTGATTGTGCGTGCGCATGGCCGTATGTGTGTGAATGCGGTGTGTGCGTGCGTGCGCGCGCGCGTGTGCAAATATTTGACAACGGGAGGTGTAACCGTGCCCGCGCTTACCCGGCTCCCAAATGCGCTGACATTTTTAGACGCCGTTTCGATTGTCTAAGAGCACACACATACCACACTATATATACCATAACCTTTTGAAATTGTGTTAAACTACTAATGTGTTTTCTCACGGGTTTTAATGATAATATAGCTATACTAAATGTAGATTAAAGGTACAATAATAAGCATTTAATTAGGTGGAGCCTTCACCTAGCATAGCAAGCCACACTAAACGCACGCACGAACGCACCCACGAACGCACGCACACGTACCGGCACGCGCGCACACGCACACACCAAAAACATTGCGGCTGCGGTGTATAAACAGCCAATCACTGCCGCGCACAGCTGTGAGGCGAAAATTTAAGACAAACCCCACCCAGATAGGGTTTGTCTATATTCAGGCCGGTACAGGAGATAATTTTCATATTTTGTCACGTGATTTGTGTTATAACCAATCAGATGTAATCGCGGTGGAGAAGGAGGGGAGAAGCTGGTGGAGAAGGAGGGGGAGAAGGGAGAAGGTGGTGGAGGAGGGGGAGAAGCTAGTGGAGAAGGAGGAGGTGAGAAGCTGGTGGAGGAGTTGGTGGAGAAGGAGGAGGTGGTGGAGAAGGTGGCAGGGAGGTGCCCTTCTCATTGAATTTGGCGCTATTTGGATCAAAACTGACGGAGCCTTTCATACATACATTATTATTATTATTAAATCTTTATTAAATCTTATTTTATCTCTATTTCAACATTAAAAGGGTCACCACCTGTGCTAACTCTGACGAGAAATGTATTTGTGGTGATATGACCTATACTATCACCCATGGCAACGAACACGGGGAGTTTCTGCTCGATCTAGACAGCGGCGACATCTTCCTGCAAAGAGAGATACCAAAGAAATTCGAACGCAAGTATGTAATATTTGATTGGTATTTTTAAGAGCGTATAAATACATGGTTTTGACAGAAGGAGCTCACAATTATGTTTAAGAATGTAAATTATATTTCATCTCTTGCAGTGTTTTGATCAATGATCAAATCAGTGTTTTTTTGCAAAGTGGAATGCAACGGTCACGTACCCGCGCTTAAGCATGGAACGTGGCATCACGTTATGAACATAGAGAGAAATAACGCTCTCTGCACAAGAGCACAACAGTACACGAAACAACAACAACAACAACAACAACAACAACAACAACAACAACAACAACAACGACAACAAGAACAACAACAGCAGCGCACAAGCAACGCATCGCTTCTGTCTTGTTGCGCAGGTTGACTATCGAAGTAAGAAACAATGTTGGCAACAGCAGCCAGGAAGGAACATCGAAAACCGACACGTTTACCCTAAACGTGCACGTGGCTCCACCTAGCGAGACGGGAGATGCTGAGTTTGTCGACTTCGAACCAAACGAGTTCATCTCCCACACACGCTCCAAACGCGCGGTAAGTACAGTCGAAGTCTTTGGCAACCATTTTATTTAAAAAAATGAAGGTGATGACGGCTCTGATTGGCTAATTTTGTCTCTTATTTATTTTATTTTTTATTATTTTTTTGCTAATTTTGTTTTATTTTAGAATTAGGGATAGGGTTAGGATTAGGGTTAGGGTTAGGGTTAGGGTTAGGGTTAGGGTTAACTGATTTCTATATGCACAACTTATTTATACTAATAATGCGCCATCTAGCGGATCACTATCTCTCCCTACTAATAAAAAAGTGAACAGAATCACTTACATTTGGCAAAAAAAGTGGACATAATTTTTTTTACTTTTACTATTTACGGTGACGTAATCACTTTACTACGCATTAGCACTCGGTATGACGCACGAACTGCAATGTGTCGTTAACGTTGTCTGTCCACACTAAACACACCTCAGCAGATTCCGTCCCTACGTCCTAACGGCGGCAGATTTCTTGCATGACACCGCATGATAGCAGCCGCGATAGAAGGAGGCGGAGTTTTCGATATAGGTGCGAGGTGGTTTACCGCACACAGTGATTATCCGCGTTCGTCGGCTATCGCAGGTGCCGACCGAAATGGCGTTTCTTCTGACGCCCGTCGGTCCGAACGCGGCGGCGTCGACCTTGAACGTAGGTGACGTGATCGCGTTCGAACTGACCATCAGCCTTCCTGCCGGACCGAGCACGTTCACCGTGGAGATGTTCACCGGCGACCTCGACACTCCGACCGTCGTGAAGCTATGCAACCCAACGGTGAAGACGGTCGGTGGCAACCTGACTCCGCTCGCGGGCGACGCGATGTATATCTTCACAGAGGAGGCTCTGCCGACCGAGTACCCAACACTTGTACGTATGCTGGCGCGGGCCAATCTCACCGCTCTCTTGTTTGTTGCGGCGGCGCAAGTTAACCGCCGATTGCAATCAAAGCGCAATCAAAAGCCGATAGTCACGTGATCTCTACCTTCCGCTCTAGCCGCAACCTTCAGTGCGCAGAATAACGCAACGTGATGCGCGCTGCGATGACGTAGAGGATGTAGATGGCGCTGCTGTTGCGAATTTCGTAATTTTGTAAAAAAAATATTAGTAAAAATTCGTCTAAAAAAATTGTCAAAAATATTTCGTACAAAAAATTTCCAATCGCGATGTTGTAAACATAGGTGGCGCCAGCGTAATTAGCATGCAGTTAGTTACCATACAATACATGTGTTGGGAGATTTTCCAGGCGCACAAGGATATGACGATTGAGAACAGTGGCTCAGACACCAACGCGAGTGCGAGCGACATCGTTTTCAGCTTCGACGCATATGTAAGAATAACAAACACCTCGTATAATGTCTTCTGTTGTGGCGTGTTTTACGTTTCCTCGCTCCTCCGCTGCCGTTAATCGGGAATCATCAAGCTGGTCGTGGTGTGTGTGTGTGCGTGCGTGCGTGCGTGCGTGCGTGAGTGCGTGCGTGTGTGCGTGCGTGCGTGAGTGCGTGCGTGAGTGCGTGCGTATATATGTATATGTCCGATACGTGAGAATGTAATATCGAATGTACTTTATTGTGCGCGAGTGGAATAGTGACATTGATAGTGAGACTTGTAGTAGAGGTGGTGTTGCGTTTATGCTAATGATGAAGTATATGTTGGGGCTGGTGGTGCTGCTGATTATTAAGCACAATGATGGGGTTAGTGCTGGTGATATGAATTGTGTGTGTGTGTGTGTGCGTGTGCGTGTGCGTGTGCGTGTGCGTGTGCGTGTGCGTGTGCGTGTGCGTGTGCGTGTGCGTGTGCGTGTGCGTGTGTGTGTGTGTGTGTGTGTGTGTGTGTGTGCGTGCGTGCGTGTGTGTGTGTGTGTGTTCATGCGCGAGGTCCCTTCAATCTGATT